GAGTCTCCACATCTTTTCTACATCATGGCGACCAAAACTGAATGCCGGATTCCAAGTGTGGCCTTACCAATATTTTATATTTTATATCTATATTTTAATGCTTCTGGCCTATGGTTGAAATGAAATAAAGTTGCTGGACTCCCTTTGAATGTTTTTTTTTCTTCCTTTCTAGATTCTTGATGCCCCTTTTAAAAGCATGCATTCAGGATATAAAGAGATCCACCACCAATGTAATTCTCCCTTTTTCTTTTCTTAGGGCGGATCTGCTTTCTCTCCAGCCATAACACTCAGCAAAGAGAAAGCACAATCACAAGCTGCCGTTTTGGCTCGCGAAGTGGGCTGCCCATCAACCAGCAGTCGTGAAATTGTCTCGTGCCTTCGTCAGTTGCCTGCCAAAACACTTAACGATGCACAAACCAAGGTGCGTTGATTTTCAGAGCTACTGTTTAAAGCCATGGGTGTACAAATCTAGCGGGGCCGGAAAAAGTTCATCTGGTACGTGGGATAAATGTCTTCTCGTTAGAGGAATCGCTCTCTTGGCTCGGAAGGAAGTGGAACAAAAAAAAAATAAAACTAGCACTGTATGTTTGATGGATTAGTTGAGAACTGTCTGTTGCCTGAAAACTGTGTGCAACCTCAAACCCACCAGCAAATGAGAATGGGAAATGAATCCGAGGCCTGCAATAGCTGTAGTTCCACAGGGCCTCTGCAAGCAAGCAATTCATATTTTGGACAAAGTTAATTCCACTTTCTCCAGGAGAAAAAGAGAAAAGGGAGAGAATTATGTCTTTCATATATGCACCACTGTGCACATGCCAAAGTGGTAGAGTGTCACTTCTTGTTGTTACAAGAGCTCCCTTGTGCACCTTTGAACAGGCATGGAAGGGCACAGGATAATGGGTCTTGAGTTGAAGGAGGAGGCTTCTGGTTGAATGTTAGAGAAAGGTCTCAATAGGTAAAGGAAAGGAACNGTCATGCCAGCCACATGACCATGGAGACGTCCTCGGACAGCACTGGCTCTTTGGCTTTGAAACAGAGATGAGCACCGCCCCCTAGAGTCGGGAATGACTAGCACATATGTGTGAGGGAAACCTTTACCTTTTATCTATAGTGCTAAACATCATAGAGGTTGTTTTCAAGTGGTTGCCATCAAATTTGGGTAGCAATTGGTGCAAGTTTTTGCTAGCAAATGACAAAACGATGCTGAAGAACACAAGAAACTCTCAAGAGTCTTCAGAGTTCTGCTTTCCTCTCATGAGAAGAAAGATGTCTATAGTGGTGAGGGGTTAAGTGGGAATAGAAGAACAAATTACAAAAGCAGAATTATGCGGTTGTCATACAATCTCCACTCTTTTTTGTACGCGACTCATGATGTTGAATACATATATGAAACTTGGCCAAGCTTACTGCATTTTCATTGTTTTGACAAAAGCAGACCAGCTTGGCCAGCTCGTGGGCAATTCATGGCTGACATCCGTTTTGAAAGCATTCTGATTTGCTTGCTTTTTCAGCTTACAATGTGCTTTTGATAAGACGATATTGATTAATATGTCAAGACAGATAGAACTATGCACAGGAAAAAAAACCTTTTTTTAAAGCTTCAGCAAGAATTAAAGATAGATTTTTTTCCCCCCATAAACTAATTGTGCAAACATTTTACACAGTAAACACACTCTGTCATGCTTCCTGATCTATTCTCGGAGGAAGGTTAGGAGAGCAATTGCTGATGCGTGATCCAGAAGAACTAGCCAAGGTAGAGCTTCCAGACTAAACTGAGATTGGGCCAAGCTATTGTCCTATAATTATTAACACCTGCACTTACCCTCTATTACAGAAGTCAAGCCTGTACCTAATACCTTTTGTTGCCACTAACAATTGTCAGCAAACATTGTGTGGTATACAACCATTCCTGCCATAACTCTGCATGTTTCAGCCTGGCTTTTGTGAACCTGGATTGCTTTCGAACTTCTGTGTGCCTCTGGCCCAGACTTGACCACTCCCCTCTTCATACACCAAAGCACGCCGAGACAAAGATACTTCAAGGATTTCTTAACACACAGACTAGACCTTGGCAGCAATCCAGCACAGACAAGTCCTTGTCAGCATCCCAGCCTGCCAAGCTAGCCACGATAGCTTCTCCAGCTCTAGTAAACACGTTCATTCCTGCAACAAGCTTGTGGAAAACCATTCTTTTTATAGTCTTGAGAGGNCAGGATAAAGGGATGGCCTCGGTCTCTGGCTCTCCAGAGATCATCGGTCAATGCGACCAAAGCGGTTTCTGTGCTGTAGCCGGGCCTGAAGCTGGACTGGAAGGGGTCAAGATAGCTGAAGGACTAGAAATTTTAGTTGCGAGAAGGGGACAGGGCTGATATTTTAGGGGCACTTTTTAGGATACATTCTGTGGACATTCTTTAAAATGTCTTTGAAGAATATCCAAGGAATTCATACATTTCTCACCATGGTGTCAACTTTTAACCAGTGGTGGGTTCCTACCGGTTTGTACCGGTTCGGCTGAACCAGTAGTGGTTTGGCGTCCTGGGTCACTGGAACCGGCGGTGACCCAGACCTGCCATGCCCCTGAACTAGTTCTCCCAGGTGGTGCCATAGGCGCCACCATTTTGTTTTTGAGTTCTGCACATGTGCAGAACAATTTTAATTGTACTGTGCATATGCACGCAGTGGGCATCAAGCGCGCACATGAGCGAACTGGCAGTAGTGCCTGCCAGAACCCTGCTTTTAACAGTGTCCTGATTATATTGGAAGAAGAAAGTTGTAACGTGAGGAAGAAGACATGGTACTATTGGCTTTTGCTGCATTGCAATGGAAAACAATCCTGGCAATAAAAAAAATAGACAAGAAAAGCCTTAAGGGTAACCAGAAAACACTCTGGCATTGGGTGAAATGGGAATGAATGCTTTATGAACAGTGTGTGCAAATGTGTGGGTTCATTTGTGTCAGTGGTGTTCCTTATCAGTTACTGTTTTTTGTTTTTTTTGCAGTATTTATATCCTGCCCTGATCTTGGTATACTCTGTGCAGGTTATGAGAGCAACAACAAAAACATAAAAGTCAATAAAAATAAATTTATTTCTTGTTCTCTATTTTTTAGCCCACTCGTTACTTTGTGAACCAATTGATTGCACTTATTTTGGCTGTCTTTTCCTTTGCCAAATAGGTTAGGGTTAAGGTTATAGATCAATGGTTGACAGTTACCTCTGCAAATTTATTTACCTGTGCCCTAATCACCAATCGATTATGTCTTTATGCCTGCAGTGGGCAAAAACTTTTTTTGGACATGAGATTTTAGCACTAGCAGTAGGCAAGAAAAGAACAAGAACCACACATTTTTTTTTTTTTAAAAAAGGTATCATTAATAAGCACCCTGGGTATTATTTGTGCAAGTTCCAGCCACACACGGACTGAGCCGTCCTACATAAACCTAAAAGGAAATAAATCTGCACCGAACTCTGCAGAATTACTTCCAGGAAAGTATGCATAGAATTGCACTAAGGGTCTCTTTTGTTCAAAATTTCCTATTAGGGATATACGACTTATTTATTTAATTTGATTTATATGGCAGCCTCTCATGCCACTATGACTCAGAATGGTGAATGATTTTTTTTAAAGAACCCCATAATATAACACTTTAAAATATACACTACATTATAATTATACATTAATAATTATACATTAAAAATGGCACTGGAGAGTAAAATAGCAATACGGTATATCATAAAATTTTAACCTACCTGGGCTTCACTAACTTTATGATGCCCATGATTGAGAAACATCCATGTTTCCAATGCCTTTGGAATGCTAACAAGGTCAGGCTTTGCCACTCTAAGATGTTCCAGAAAACAGGCAGATCTCCATAAATCCATGTTATAATCTGGAGCATTTTCGTTTATCAAGTTATCACAGCCTACAAGTATGTGATCTCTTCTGCAGTTATATTGCAGGTGAAAGTATGTTTTACTCAGAAGGAAGTCTCTTTTCAGGGTGATGTAATTTTCAGCTGAAGCTAATAATGCATAGAACTGGACTCCCCCCCCCCCAATCCTATTTCTGTTTTGTTTTTGATCCCTGGATTCATTTCAATGACTGATACCCACTGTTCTAATTACAGGCGGCAACAGAAGCTACAAGGAACAGACTAATTACCTCTTCCTCTCACTAAAATGTCAGATTCTGTGTCACCCACACAAAGCCAACTTAAAGCTTGTACCCCAGGCCAATAGGATGACTGGGCTACCTTAATTGCAGACCACTGAAAACAACACCACACAGTAATAAGGAAACCACTGGCATCCATTTCAAAGGATTCAAAGAATTATCTGTGATTGGACGTCCCCTTAGCCCGATGCATTCTTGCAAAGCCCCTGCTTCTAACAGACAGCTGTCGCCACTTGTAGATTAGTCAAGGCCCCTCCCTTGCAAATTGTACCTTCTTGATGCCCTTTCTTTCTGTCCAATTATAAAGCGGCGCTAGGTTTTCTCATCAGCCATCTCCGTGTCTTCAAATGGCTTTTCAGTGTCAGACCTATCAGGAAATTAACTCATCACGCAGTGACAGCTGCTAATTTTTTCCCCTTGCATGTCAGATAGATCGCCTGCTGAAGCTAATAATGAATCACCAATCCCTGATTAGAAGGTGCTTCCGAAACGTATAACTGCCATCGGAGCTAATTTTTTTCTTCATATAAAATGATATCACCCTAGAGGAGCAGAAAACGAATTGTTCTGTTCAACAAGATGGAACAGAGGTAAGCTGTTTAAAGTGAGCGGTGTGCGATTGGAAATTATGAGCCAATATTGTAGAGTATAAGAAGGGGTGAAAATGCCACTTTTCTTTCTTCCTTTTTCTTCTTACCAAATGAATTGCTCTTTCCGGTTACATAAGCTATTCACTAGAACTAGGTCTGTTTTAGAGCTCAGGATATGCTTTTGTCCTCTGGGTTCTTGGCGGTATTTTTCTCTGAAAACATACAAAGTAGAGAATACAGAGGAAAGGTTGATGTGGTCGGGGGTCTCTCTTGTGTTTCCCCTCGCTAACTTGCTAGTGGCTCGGGCTGCCAGCTGATGGTCCCCAATGTTTTTCAAAGCAGGATAGTTCAGATACAAGTTTTGGCCAGCCTGAGGCAGGAAAACTCATCGTGAAGAACATCTTGAGCCAACTGTGTCTGCAAACATAACAAATCTCTCTCTTGTGGAAACTTGCTATCAATCTGGATGTTTTGAAGGCAACATTTATACATGACAACAGTGCTCACAGCACTGTTCCTAATTCCCCGGGTGCATATTTCTTGGTATGTTGGCTTTTTGTGCCAGTTCAACTAACTTCCATGGTGAACTATTGCTGATAAGAGACAGAATATCATTTAGCTTGGAGCTTTTGTTTTGGTTAACATTTTATATCTATGAATTAACTTTC